ACTGAAGTCTCATAAGAAGACATAAATCATTGAATTTACTAAAATTCTAGGCTATATCATCCAGCAGACGTGTTTTTTCATGTTGACCAGTATACGGCGGTGGCGGTGGATTTCGATAATTTTCACCCGATATAAAATAATGCGGTGCTCTTCTCCAACTTTTATTCACTGCAATCTGTGGCTGTTGTTGTTGTTCACTATTATCAATTGGTGAATAGTAATCATAGTAGGAATAGTTCTGCTTCTTCTTCTTCTTGTAAACTATACTCAATACAATAAATAATGTCAATATTAAAAAGACAATAATAGAGAAGACAATTGTCGCGATGACAGTTGGATCCCATACTGGAGTGCTTGTGTTCATTGAAGCCAAGTTCATGTTAGTGAATTCAGCTAAATTGGCAATACAAAGAAAGAGAGACACAGGGAAAGAAAGATAAAGAAAGAGTCATTCTAGAATTTAATTTGTAGATGGTGACTAGCAGTGGAATCAAGGATAACGCGCATTTCGTCCTATTTGGGACTCGTCCGCCAGCTGGATGTACCTGCATTTCCCAGTGAGTGATGATGTTCCCAGTGATGCTCGAACCCAGTGCCCTTAGTGTCCAACGCCAAAGCGTTATCCACTAGACCAGACATCGTCGAAGCATCTGCAGAAGAAGCCAACTTGTCAACCTGAGACTGAGCACTTCGGTCGAATCAATTGACGAGAAAATCTAAAATTCAATTAAATTAATATGACCCGTTGCACAAGAGGTGGCTCTCGTGGCCCAAGTGGTCTAGTGGATAACGCTTTGGCGTTGGAAACTAAGGGCACTGGGTTCGACCATCAGTGGGAACATCATCACTCACTCACTGGGGAATGCATGTACATCCAGCTGGTAGACGAGCGCCAAATAGGACGAAATGCGCATCGTGGATTCCACTGCTAGTCACCATCCACAAATTAAATTCTAATTAAATGCCCAGACATCGTCGAAGCATCTGCACAAGAAGCCAACATGTCAACCTGAGACCGAGCACTTCGGTCCAATCAGTCGACGAGAAAATCCAAATTAAATTAAAAAAAGAGTCATTCTGTGAGTCAGTAAAAAAATAGTGGTTCGCCGCCTTCTTTCAGATTCATGAATAATGTCCCATTCAGAGATGAATGAAAACAAAACACGTAGTTCAGTGAAGAGTCCCTTTTTTAGGCGGCAAATTCATTCACGCTTAGCTGTACAATCGCTACACAATTAGGTAAGAGTTCGAAAATTTACAAATGTTCTAAGGAGTTAGGTTGTTACCATGATGACAGAAGTAGCTGGATGGTTTTCTTTTATAAACATAACTCTGGTTTTTCAAACTGAATGATTAAAATTCCATATTAGTTTGTTTATTAGATGTATCACACAATGAGTGAAACAGTATTATTTACTGGATGACAATGTTTCGAACACAAATTATCATCATTCATAATCATAACAATTATAATCACACGACTTCGAAATCTGAGTTTTATAGTTTTCTTTGTCCTCTCGTATTTGTCGTTGTTGGGGTAGCAGAATTTTCCAGATATATGGGTGGTCAGATGTTGAATCATTCCTATTACATGTATTTGTAGTTGATTCGATAAACAAAGCCTCCGTTGTTATCAATCTCTCCCTCAACTCTGTTACATTAGATTTTAAAACTGTCATCTTATTCCATCCTATTTTATGGTTGTGTGTGAATGCATGTAGTGAGTGCTATAGCTGTATTATTCTCTAGATTTCTTATCTTATTTGGGTCAACCAGTCTAGATTTTACTAGGTTTTTATGTTCGGCTAGTCTGACTGCCCCTTTTTCTAATTGAGTTTGTGGGTTTCAGTGCCGGCCACTTTGATTCCTGCCTTGTTAAGAATTCTGCATAAGGTTTCCGTAAGGTTTCGGAAACCTTAGGATGAAAGTATTAAAATCTAATGTTACAGAGTGGAGGGAGAGATTGATTGATAAGGGAAGCTTTGTTTATCGAACCAACTGCAAATACATGTAATAGGAATGATTCAACATCTGACCACCTAGAAATCTCGAAAGTTCTACTACCCCAACGACGACAATTAGGAGAGAACAAAGAAAACTATAAAACTCAAGTTTCGAAGTTGTATGATAATGATTGATGTGATTATGCACAGTAATAAATTTCGTTCGAAACATTGTCATCCAGTAAATAATACTGTTGCACTCCCTGTGTGTGATACATCTAATAAACAAACTAATATGGAACTACTTACTACCACAGTGCCCAAGTTTTACACATATATGAATGGTTAGGACTTCAGCAATACAAAGGAGATGAAAGCAAATTGCTCTTGGTAGGTTATTCTTCACTTTGTAGATTACTTTGAAAGAGGAGGCGTTTGTTGAGATAGAATGACCAGTTTTGACGAGAGATTTGATTATCGCACCCTTTATACAACCACTATTGCCTTTCTGTAGCTATGCGGGATAGTCTTCTTGAATCCTTAGACCAATGTACCTGGCTCCACAGCAATAGGTGAACTGATATAGGCACAATAAAATGGCCAAATGTGAGATCTTGTCATTAAGGCTTCTGTAGATCAATGGACGACTTGAGAACACTGTTCTTAGCATCAATGTGAAGAATTTTCTTCTCAGAGATGATGTGATCCTTCTTTTGGGAATATCGTTTGCTAAATCTCCCTTGAAATCCAAGTTCATGCGACTGGTCCGAGTGGCAAAAGATTGAGTAAGATTTCGTCTCTGCTCAACAAGTACCCAACTGAAGAAACTTGTTAGTTTAGCGCTCGAAGTGGATTTTCTATGAACTGTCCTTCCTAAGGTTCCGTCAGGTCGTCTTGTTATTTCGCACATTGTTGTAACTGTAGGGGAATTAATTGAGGACGTTGTCGCCTAGTTCTATCTGCGCCTGACTAATATGCCTATCTGCGTCTGGTACCTTCCGATTCAGCGAACCACGCAAATATCAAAAGACAAAAGCTGGTCTGTGACTGTGTATTGTAGTACAACAACTACGACAAACTACGACAAATAAACTTATTTAGGAAATGGTATTTATACATTTTTACAACCAATACAGACAGCTAACAGTATTTGAAATAATTGGTCGTAATAGTCAATAACAAAATGCGTGGGAAATGATGATATACCACTTATGCGAGATTAACAGTCGTTAAAATAATTGAACAATAACAAAGTGTGTGGGATCCTATCACACATCAAGAAAAGGAATTTTGGATTCTCATTCCATTTATATAGTGAATTTTATTGCCGGACGGCAGTTGTTTAATATTGGTAGCAACTGACTTTGGTCGTAACTGTTGTTGTAAACGACGAAAATGTTATCTATGTATCGTTTGTACGATTGCAAATTGTTAATGGATGACTTGAGTGGGCCGTTCTCAAGGCTAGTCATGAAGCCAAAGAGAGATCCCAATGCAATACCATCCTTTTGTCGGTGGATGGTTTCATTGAAAGTAAATTTTACATTGAGAGTACACCTCAGTAACAGTTGTACATGCATTAGAAAGTCATCCAACCAATCACTTCTACCATCATGGTAACAACCGGGTCAACTTCTACTCCATATAACATTTATAATTTTTAGAACTCTTACATAACTGAACAGCCAAGTGAATGAATTCGCCGAAAAGGTACTTTCCGATGAACTACGTGTTTTGTTTTCTTTCAGATTATCGGAGAAAGCCATTTAATAGAGACGGAGGTATATCACGATATCAAAGAAGTTATGAATGATAAGTCACTAAATTCAAAAACTCATTCGTTCAATGTTAACGTGTTCGATACGTGAATCCAAGCTCCTGAGTTCGCTACCTTGTAGAGTTATCGATATGCAGTGATAACGTATTCCAAAGTAAGAAGAAACACCCATTTAATCCTCCTGATGTGCTCACAGTTTGTGCAGGGGCTGGGATACTGTCCAGACGCCGAAACCGAAGCAGGTGGTTGTCTTATGTGGCTAACGCCTCCCCTGAGCTTCCTATTCGAATTCTTATCCACAAAGCATTCAGTCAGCTTCAGGAACTATGTCCCCATGATTTCTGGTGACCGGAAAAGGTTCACACGCCATCCAATCCTTCCGAATTCTGGAGTTCATGTACATTATTTGTTAAGGTGCCAGCTTCAAAGACGGGGAACCCATAGATCCTGAACCTAGCTCTGACGGCAAAAGACTAATACGATGTGCTGAAAATGACTTGAGAATATCAGAAAACAGATTGGTAATTCTACGGCTGTTTATTTCTTCACTGAAAAGGAACCAGTACTACAGGGTTATTACAATGCATAGTCAAGGAATAAACATCAGCATAAACCACAATAATACTTTTGATCGTTCTTCTCCAGTCTTCTGCCAAACGGCGTACGACTAGGTCACTGCTGTCACTGTTTTCCCCAGCGAAAATGGAGATCCTTCCAAATACACAAATCATATGTTTCTCACTCAGTGTTCACCAACTCTGACACTACAGGTTTGGAATCAGAGTTTTCCAGTTCCCCCAAGTAGACCACCAGTCCATTTGTAAGCACCAGACGTACATGTTCCCCCTTTCTTTTTTGTTTGAGGAACTCCAGCTGCATGAAGGCGGTAAGTAGGACCCACCTCGTAGAAGCAATGAAGATGCGTAGCCAAATAAGACAGCATTTGAGGAGGAAAACCTAACTCTTCCCAACGTCGGCCGTATCAGACAGTTTATGGGGATGATCTACTTTGTAAGAAAGAGTATTTCGTACAAAATGGTCTATAGAGTGAAGTTGAAGTATCTAGGTGGGTGGATGGAAGCCTACAGATCAAGCGTGCAGTATTGATGATTGAGTGATCTATGCGACACGTCACCGTTGCACACCATGGTTCTACTTTATCTGATATTAGCTGTTATGAATAGATAACAATTGATTGATAGATGCTAAACAATAACCTCAAGTCTAAACAACCATATTCGATACTCTGATTTATTTCTATTTGTGATAGGATAAAAATTGTGAAGCGTTGGTTTGCAGGAATCTCATTGGTTACAGGTTTGACCACACCAGGAAGTACTGGACAACTGTTTTGTCCTAACTTGAGACTCTTCAGTAGTACTCATCCATCGGGGTTCGAACCCAGGACCCTCGGGTTACAAGGCAAGCTCGCGGACCATCTAACCACTAGGATGGAATCCAGCGGCTCATTAATTCCTAATTTGGCTAATTCGCGACTGCCAGTTGCGCAGTCACCGGTAAATATCATACTTGAGTAACTGATCTCTTAGCCGACCTGTTGGACCCCGCTGGTTATGACTTCTTGCTAGAACACTAATAGTATTTTTATCATAATTATCTTTTTGAGTTCCAGATGAAACAAAGAGCTTCCGCACCACATCTCCATTTCGCTCTCCTCGCCTCTACAATTGCCCACCCCCTTCCATCTCCTCCTCACACGATCTCTTCCATATCATTGTCGGACCAACGCCCGAATCGTCGTTTCCAACTCAGATTTCTTGTCCAGCTATAACCTGGCCTGCTATGTCATTTGAAAGACTCCTAATTGTGTCCCAAATACATCTTTGTTTTCCTCGGAGTATTTGTTGAGCAAGAGGTTACTGATTGGTTCTTTGATAGAGTTTGTCGTTGCTAATTCTTTCTAGCTGGCCATTTGATCTTCACTGTAAAGTCAATGAAGGTAGCTGTTAATAAATGTCTGCAGTGGCCTGTTGGAACTGCTTCACGTGACGCACACGCAATGAAACTTTCTGACCCACATACAAGAACTGAGTGGACATTGAAGTTAAAAATTCAAATTCCGTTCTTTATGCTGCGGATTTCAGATTTCTAAACTGACTTTGACATCCTCATCCGTGCTGTTGCCTGTAGTTAAAACGATGGTGCCTGACCAGATCAGTGAAGTAAGTGACCTCTTTCAAATTTCTCCCGTCGATAGTAATCGGCGTTAGTTGTTTCTGTTGATTGGTTACTTTCATCACCTCTATCTCCTCTATATTCATCACTTGAAGCCCTGATGAAGAGCCCCAAACTAGGACGAAACAGCCGTCCAGTACTCGCAGGTTTTCCAATGGTTATCTAACTAATGTCAGCTCATGATGAAATCCTGTAAACATCATCATATAGCTGTTAAATGAGGTTGATAAAGGTGTTTGGGTCACTCCATAGTGTTCAAGTAGATTTCCAAATTACTTCTTGGTCAACACTATTGAAGGTGTTTTTAAAGTCAATAAAATTGAGACAGACTGAAATTTGACTGCTATTCAATCCTCTGTTCGATGACGATAATGTTGATGATGATGCTTGGAGTTGCAATTCGATTCGCTTCTCATGAATCTAGCTTGTTTAGGGTGGGGAGGGAGGAGGCTGGCGGAGTTCTACATCCAGTGTAGAAATATTATATCAATTTAGATTGAATCAACAAGTAATAATGAATCTTTATTATACTAATAATTGGTTGGAGGGTTTCATCATGAGCTGACATCAGTTAGAGAACCATTGGAAAACCTGCAGGGAGTACTGGACAGCCAGCTGTTTCCCCGTCCTAGTTTGGGGATCTTCGGCAGTACACACCCACAGCTACGATTCAAATCCACGACTTTCCGGTTACAAGGCGAGCGAGCCACTGGGACCCGACACAATGGCCAGACAGCCTTTGAATTCTAACTTCTACCAATTCATGACATAGCGCGACCACTTCACAATGTCTTTTTCGATGAGTTACTGCCTCACCTTCAACCTGCTGTACCCTACTGGTCATGGCTTTCCACTAGAACCCCAGGTAACTAACTACCTACCTGAATAGGACCAGTCTCTAGTGAGCATCAGATCAATCAAACAAAATCCCTACAAAAAGTAATACTAGAAAATACTGATAATTGTTAGAATAAATTTAAAATTCACTTCTCACTTAATTTTCTGCCAAGAAATTCAGACTGTGTCACATGAAATGTTGATTTTGAGAACAATATGACTATTTAACTAAGCCTTCTTTCGATGAAAGCGAAAATAAGGATGGGGACGTGGAATGTTCGTACAATGTACGAAGCTGGGAAGGCTGCTCAGGTAGCCGCAGAAATGAGGAGATATAGAATAGAAGTGTTGGGAATCTGCGAGAGCAGATGGAACGGATGTGGAAGGAGCCAACTATCAACTGGAGAGACAATAATCTACTCCGGTCACCCAGAGGACAATCACGAGCACACCGAGGGAGTAGCCATCATGATGTCACCAACAGCGGCTAAAGCTCTCATGCAGTGGGAACCAATCTCCTCCAGGATAATGACAGCCAGGTTCAACTCAAAAGGAAAAAAGGTTACAATCATTCAGTGCTACGCGCCTACAAACGCCTCAGAACATGAGAAGAAGGAGGATTTCTACAGTCAACTACAAACAGTAATGGACAACGTCCCAAAGAGCGATATCAAAATCCTGATGGGCGACATGAATGCGAAACTGGGAGGAGACAATACAGGAAGAGAACTCACCATGGGTCGTGAGGCCCTCGGTGAAATGAACGAAAATGGTGAACTCTTCTCAGACTTCTGCGCCTTCAATGATTTGGTGATTGGTGGCAGTGTGTTCAAACACAGGGATATACACAAGGCAACATGGATTTCACCAGATGGACACACCAAAAACCAGATAGACTTCATTTCAATCTCAAGGAAGTGGAGACGGAGCCTACTGGACACAAGATCGAGGAGAGGAGCAGATGTGGGTTCAGACCACTATCTGGTACAAGGGACTTTCAAGGTGAAGCTGAAAGCCTCGAGGATACCTGGGGATAGGCCACAATGCAAGTTCAACACTCACAAACTGAAGGACACAATCACACAGGACATTTTCACTGCAACTGTCAGAGCAAAGCAGGAAACACTACGTGGCACCACTGAGGAATCATCCGTGGAAGACCATTGGAACTCTCTGAAGGTAATTTTCAACGAAACGTGCTCAACGGTTTTAGGAAGAAAGAAGAAACAAGACAAGGAATGGCTCTCAACAGACACTTGGAAACTAATAGAGGAGAGGAGAATGGTGAAAGAGAAAATGATTCAATGCAAAGATGGACAAGAGAAAGAGACGCTGAACTCAACTTACACAGCACTGGACAAAGAAGTGAAGAAGAGTGCCAGGAAGGACAAAAGACAATTCTACGACAACCTGGCTACTGAAGCTGAGAAGGCAGCAGGCAAAAGGGACCTGAGGACACTATATCAGATAACCAAGTCTCTATCCGGGAAGAGATCAACACAAGTGAAACCTATAAAAGACAGCCAGGGGAACCCAATTACCAAAGAAGGAAGACAGATTAAACAATGGGCGGACCACTTCAAAGGACTCTTGAACCGACCACCACCTACAACCCGTCCAGTAATACCAACAACAGCACGTACACAACTGCAAGTTGACACCAATCCTCCAACGAAAACTGAAGTCATGTATGCAATCAAGCTTCTGAAAGCTGGAAAAGCAGCTGGACCAGATGGAATACCCCCTGAAGCACTGAAAGCGGACCCAGAGACGACAGCAGATATGCTGACTCCATTATTGCAAAAGATCTGGAAAGAGGGAAAGGTGCCTACTGACTGGAGGAAAGGTTACCTGGTGAAACTACCAAAGAAGGGCGACCTGGGACTCTGCAAGAACTGGCGAGGAATCATGCTCCTGTCGACGCCAAGTAAAATCCTGAGTCGCATCATCCTGGAGAGAATCAAGGACGCGTTGGATACAGAACTCCGACCAGAACAAGCTGGATTCAGGAAAGGCAAATCATGTTCTGACCAAATTGCAACTCTACGCATTATCATCGAACAAAGCATGGAATGGCAATCAAATCTCTACCTCAACTTCATAGACTTTGAGAAGGCCTTCGACAGCGTTGACCGCGAAGTAATTTGGAAACTACTCGAGTACTACGGCGTACCGCAAATATTCATCAACCTTATTCAACAGCTGTACGACAACGGCACATGTCAAGTGATCCACAACGGAAAACTCAGCGAAGCGTTTGGAGTAAACACAGGAGTCAGACAAGGGTGCTTATTATCACCAATGATATTCCTAATTGTGGTGGACTGGATTATGCGTCAGACAGTGGGAAACGAGAAGACAGGGATATCCTGGACCGACGTCAAGAACCTAGAAGACCTGGATTTTGCGGATGATTTATGTTTGATGTCACACAAAATCGAAGACTTACAAGCAAAAACCGACAAACTGGTCGAAGAAGCAGCAAAGACAGGACTGCAGGTGAACATAGACAAGACGGAGGTCATGAAAATAACCAACCAACAACAGCAGCAACATCCAGTGCCAATCACCATCAACGGGAGGGATTTGAAAGAGGTTACTTCTTTCACTTATCTAGGGAGCATTGTCTCAACCACAGGAGGAACGGACGAGCATGTCAAATCGAGAATCGGGAAGGCGAGAAACACATTCATCATCAACCTGAAACCAATCTGGAAATCTTCGTCACTCAGCCTGCATCAACAACAAAATTCGGATTTTCAATGCAAACGTGAAGTCAATTTTGCTTTACGGATCAGAAACTTGGCGAGTCACCAAGAATATTTTCAACAGGTTGCAGACCTTTATCAACAACTGTCTTCGCTCCATACTGAAGATTAGATGGCCGGAAAGAATCACAAACAAGAAGCTATGGGAACAAACGAAACAGGAACCAATCGCCCAACAAATATGCAGGAGGAAGTGGAGATGGATTGGACACTCGCTGAGGAGGCCGCTGGGTGACACCGCGCGACAGGCAACCGCTCGAGTGGAACCCGAAAGGGAAGCGGCGAGTTGGTCGTCAGTGCAAGGGTGACATGGAGGAGATCGTGTGAGGAGGAGATGAAACAGTATGGAATAACATGGACGCAAATGAAAAGAACAGCAGAAGACAGAAGCAAGTGGAGACGTGCAGTTGAAGCCCTATGTTCCACTAGGAACCCAAGGGAACAATAATAATAATAATAATAATTTAACTAAGCTGTAGACAAGATCGATAATTTTTGTCTACGCTTACAGAGTTGATTTAACAGAGTTGATATTTGCACTTACCTGGAACAATTATCATACTGCCTGCTTTATAATCATCATAATCGTAGCCAAGACTTCGCGAATCAATGAAATAGGCAATATTTTCAATGACTGGGAAAAATGGTACTATTGGTGAATATGCATTGTGACCTGGTGGACATCCACGTTTGGGATACTATTATATTTGAAAGAAGAAACATAAAATAAAAATAGACACTAAATAAAAGCTGACCAGGAATTCTCAGTTATTTCCCACCTTCCTGGTAATCTATCTAGAGGAGCTTGACTACATCTTCTAACAGTAGCTGAAGCGGTAGCAGTCAATACCAGAAGACTGGCTCTTTGTATACAGATAAAGTATATTCAATCGCTATGTTTACCTTGGCCTACATACAATAAGGTATGAACGTGTGGACACACTTACATAAGGAGGACTCATCGATCTCTGCAAGTAAGGCCTGGTTTTAGAGCATATTCCTAAATGGCTCCAGAAACAAATAGAATCTTTAGAACCCATTAATGGTGAGAACAGGAGACCTAGCTCCTCTATTGCCAAATATATTATACAGACAGGACATAAAATTGACGTTAACAGATCTTTGAAACCTATCTATAAAACGTGTTTGGAGGAAGGCGTATCCTAAATTTTGTGGAAGACCTAGCTGGCAATTACGAAGTTTAAACCACCTCTATGCGTTCAAAAGCAATTCGTCATCACATTTAAATCTCCTTGGTAAATTTTGTTTTGATACCGTAGTAGATGTACTATTACCTCTGTTATTTGGTTTAGTGGCCTTCTTACGAGTTGATCACGGATTGATATCAATTAGAGAACCATTGAAAACCAGCTGGGAGTACTGGACAGCTGTTTCATCCTAGTTTTCGGAATCATCGGAAGTACAAACCAACTGGGGTTCGAAATCGGGACCTTCCGGTTACAAGGCAAGCTAACTCGTATAGCATTCAGCCACTGGGACCCGATTCAATGGCTCATGAATTCTAACTTCTGATACTCGCTAGTGACTTGCTACAGGATGGAGTTTCCTGGAGTTCTAGTGACAAGTCGTGACCAGTGAGGTCCAATTAGATGTCACGTGTGTGGATGGATGTCCCACCAACGACATTGGTTGGGGTCGCACTAAATCACGAATTGGTAGAAGTTAGAATTCACGAGCTATTGGATCGAGTCCCAGTGGATGAATGGTATACGAGCTTGCCTTGTACCCGGAAGGTCCTGGGTTCGAACCCCAGTGGTTGCGTACTGACGATGATTCCCAAACTAGGATGAAACAGCTATCCAGTATTCCCAGCCTGTTTTCAATGTTTCTCTAACTGATATCAATCCATGATCAACTCGTTAAAACAAAACTAACCCTTACAAACCAAACTACAGAACATTATTATCATTATTGTTACCATTATTATTATTATTATTATTATTATTATTATTATTATTTGATAATCATTCACCAAAAGTACTTTTATGTTCACGTCATATCATCGTCATTATTTCGCAATCATTATTATTGTAGTCACTTGGTGAATGTTGACTAACAGTGGAATCCACCGGGATGCACGTTTCGTCCTATTTGGAACTCATCAGCTACTGGATCTACCTACATTCCCCAGTGAGTGATTCTGTTTCCACCATGGCTCGAACCCAGTGACCGTAGTTTCAAACGCCAAAGAGTTATCCACTGAGACCATCATCACTTGCTGGGGAATGCAGGTATATACGCTAGCTGACGAGTCTCGAATAGGACGAAACATTGTGCATCCTGGTGAAATCCACTGCTAGTCACCATTTACCAACTGACTTCAAGTTACAGGACTAGACATCGTCGAGGCATGTGCACAAAGAGCCAACATGTCCACCTGAGACCGAGCACTTCGGTCCAATCAATTGACTGGAAAACTAAAATGAATTAAACATTATTATTGTCGTCTCATTTTATTTCATGTTCTCATTGACCATGCATATTCAAAAACTAACTGACTATTATTCCATCCCATGTTATACTTCTGATATGATTCTAATTTGCTTTTACTGACTGGCTGACTATTGTATGCTTAAATTAATGGATTTATAATTTTAGAGCCTGAAGAAGAATTTATTGAAACCACAGTTGGTCGCTTTAACTATTTTTGTTCTGACTAAATTATGGGAATATTCAAATTATTAAAAAAATAGTCAATCGTATTCATTGAAGGTGAATCCGGACACCAAGCTACACCGCAAACAAACTTCAAAGTCGTCTACAGAGTAAGAAGTAGTCTTTCTAAAGGTGTACGAATCAGACTTTTTCAAACTGCAGAAGCAATGGCGATTGACTTGCTAAGTCCTGACCTCAGCATACAGAAGAAGTTCGTTCAATCACTACACTTGCAATGGACATAATCTACCTTAATACGCGACAGGTAATTTCTATTTCTTTCTTTCTTTCTGTCTCTTCATTTGTATTATTTTGTCTTTTCAAATGTAATATTTTACATTTTCAACTTTCCTGTTCTCTACCCCCACCGGATTTAACTTCTACCCCTCGCTACCACTGTTACTGACTTGAACAACGCTCAGTTTCTAGTCAATTATATTACGTCATCTAACTAACTCAATCTTACTTTAGTTGCTGTCTGATTAACTTTGTTTCTATGTTAGATCATTCTTGTGTTACCTGATCAATTGTCTAAACTTGACAAACCTCATGTACACACACACACACACACACAAATAACTATATATAAATGCGATTGTACAGCTATGTGAATGAATTCACCGGCGAAAAAAGTCTCTTCGCTGAACGTCTTCTCTTTTTCATATGACTCGAAGGTGAAATTGTTTCGCTAAAACCCATCTATCTTTATGTACTAGTATGATGAGAGCTGGCTGCTAGCCAAAATTGGTAGACAGTAATTTACGTCAATAATTACGTTCCCAATATCGGTCATGAGAAAAATAAGAACAAAGACTGATTCAACAACCAATTACAGCAGAATTTGCGAAGGCGGATACAATTCGCAGATAGATAATCTGAACTTCAAGAAACGGCCACAAAGAGATGAAGGATTAACGTTCAGCGAGAAACCAGCAATCAGAAGACTGTGTTTGTTCGCTTAAAATAATCTATAATAATGTACATGAAAATCGATAAATATCTGTTGATTTCCTAAATAAGCGATCTGTTGCCTGTAGCTAACGAATGTTCGAAATCTGTCAAACTCCATCAGCAACTATATGGCAGTGCTAGGTGTCAGTGGATCTACAACGGAAAACTCAGCCAAGACTTTGGAGTAAATACATGAGTAAAACAAGTCTGACTACTATCCCCGATGATATTCTTAATTGTGGTGGACTGGATTAGGCGGCACACTGTGATTGGGGAGCGAGAAGACAGTAACAGACTGGACTGACAGCAGATTCTAGAAGATTTGGACTTTGTGGACAAATTATATGTAATGTCATACATACTGAAAAACTTTACAGACGAAACCCAACAAGCTGGTAGCGATGACAGGACTTCAGGTGAACAACATATAGAAGATGGAAGTGACGAAAGGAACCAGCCAACAATAACCAGCACCGATCACGAATAACCTGGAGAAATTCGAAAGACTTTGCTTCCTTCACTTATCTACACAGTATTGTTTCAACTACGGGCGGGACTGATGAAAATATCAAAGCCAGTTAGGACTGGAAAGGCGAGAGAGACCTTAATCACTCTGGAATTAGTTTGGAAATCTTCTACACACAGTCGGCATAAAGAACGAAATTAGTCAATGACTTCTTCTATATGGGTCGTAGATTTGCATTGTGCATGAGTCACGAAAGGCATTTCCAGCAGCTTGCCTCAGGCTTTTTTCAACAACTGCCACGTTCACTCGCTTTATGTGTAAGATTAGATGAGCAATTGGAAAGGAGTAGCACCAAGAGACTTAGGGAATGAACTAACCAAGAATCTATTGGATCAGAAGCACGCCACTGAGGAGACTGACGAACGACATCTCGCCTCAGTACAGATTTCAAGTGGGACCCGAATGGGAAACTACGATATAAGCGTGGTTCTGAGGTTGAAGGTGGAGGAGACCGATGAGAGTTTATGGGAAATCGTGCGGTTAGCTAAAGAGGGCTACAAGGGACAGGACAAAAAGGAGATGTGATGTTGAAGCCGGGCGTTCCACTCAGAACCCAATAGCAGTATTAATAACAACCAGGCTCAGTCTTTTGAATGTCAAATCCAAAAATCTCTCTTTGAACACATCTATTATTATAATCATTATTGTTCCCTTGGCTTCCTAGTGGAACATAGGACTTCAACTGCACGCCTCCACTTGCTTCTGTCTTCTGCTGTACTTTTCACCTGCATTCATGTTAGTCCATACTGTTTCAACTCCTCTTCACACGACCTCCTCCATGTCACCCTTGGACGTCCCACTCGCCGCTTCCACTCGAAGGCCTGATGCGCGATGTCACCCAGCGGCCTCCTCAGCAAGTGTCCAATCCATCTCCACTTTCTCCTGCATATTTGTTGGGTGATTCGTTCTTGTTTCGTTTGTTCCCATAGCTTCTTGTTTGTGATTCTTTCCGGCCATCTAATCTTCAGTATGGAGCGAAAACAGTCGTTGATAAAGGTGTGCAACCTGTTGGAAATATTCTTTGTGACCCGCCAAGTTTCTGATCCGTATAGCAAACCTGACTTGACGTTTGCATTGAAAATCCGAATTTTGTTGTTCATGTTGAGTGACGAAGATTTCCAGATTGGTTTCAGGTTGATGATGAATGTGTTTCTCGCCTTCCCGATTCTCGATTTGACATGCTCGTCCGTTCCTCCTGTGGTTGAAACAATGCTCCCTAGATAAGTGAATGAAATAACCTCTTTCAAATCCCTCTCGTTGATGGTGATTGGCGCTGGATGTTGCTGCTGCTGTTGTTGATGTTGGTTGGTTATTTTCATAACCTCCGTCTTGTCTATGTTCACCTGGAGTCCTGTGTTTGCTGCTTCTTCGACCAGTTTGTTGGTTTTCGCTTTAAAGTCTTCGATTCTGTGTGACATCAAGCATAAATCATTCATCCATAATTCATACAAATCACAAAGGTTTGTAATATCAGTTAAACACCAGTATTATGTTTGTTAGAATACATGTATAGTGAAGTTTTTATGTGACTGATATACAATATCA